TTTTTTTTTTTTAATAATACAGGCTTGCTGTGTGATAACAACCTAGGATTGGATGGACAAACTACTTACAGATGTAATGTCTATGACAGTGTGACTTATTTTATTTCCAAAAATGCCTCTAATGAGCTGATTGAAAAATTCATTGGACATTGTTAACAATGGTAATTATCATCAATAATAAAATAACAAAACCTAGTGAACATATAAGTAATATTAAATTGTTTCAACAGGTTTCCATTAAAAAATAAAGATGAACATAAGGAGGTAAATCAAAAGGACTTGAAACGTGGAGAAACAGAGCCCCACTCATACTTTCCCCTTTTGGACTTGGAAAGGACAGTTGTATTTATGAAATGGTTTGTGAATTTTTAAATCTTGTATTTCGTTAGTTTGACAATAATTACCACTACATTTTTTTACTCTTCTGAATTGTAGTAGTTAATGATTAAGTTTGATATTTTGTAATTTTACTGATAGTAGTTATAGTTCTTAATATTTTAATACATAATATTTAAGATGAAATTAACATTAAATTGTTTCAACAGGTTATCATTTAAACACGTTAAATGAACAAGGAGACAAGAAAGATTCGAAACCTGGAGAAGTGAAGCCCCGTTAATGTTTTTTAGAAAAAACATGCGGTCCAATTCCACTGATGGATATAAAGTTGCGCATGTGATGTTGTGTCTTCTGCTCTGTGGCTCATTTCACTATCAATGGTATCATTATTCGTTTCAAAAGTATCTATTGTTAGAGGCACTCTCTGCTGTCAACGCTTAGGAATAACACTCGAGCACCTTCGGTAATCCTCGAGGTAAGAAATTGTTTCACTGTACTTTATTTTCGTTGTAATTTGTCATCTCTAGCGTCTATGGTTTTCCTTCTGACAGTTATGTATTATCCACAACAACTTAGCCGTGCATCTGTGATATTTGGTATTTCTTTTAACAATTATCTATTGTCTACATCATAAATTGGAGTTGTATGCATCTATGATTAGTTCGCAACATTTATCTGTACTATGATGTAAATTGACACTTGTCACCATTTTATAATTCTGTCATTTTACATGCGTTTTGATGCATGTTTTGTTGTTTTTCTTATCTTATTTATGTGACAGTGTAATTAATTGGTACTTTCTTTTAGGTGTTTAATGCCTTCCGTTATTAATAGTGTAATTAATACGTTTTTTTGTTCATGTTTGCAGATTGTTCAACTAATGGGAAAGAAGTAAAGTTCAGTTTGGTCCTATTGAAACAACCAATGTCCACATGGGCATCACTTTACCTGGATTGTTCTCTCGATTAGCTGTGTACATCTTTGCCTTGCAACATTATGAAGTTAATTTTCAACAGATAAGCAAGAACAAGAGGAGATTTACTTGAATTCCACTCAAAGAACAAGTTTTCTTCTTTGGCATTCCTTCTGGATTTGGTTTGCTTTTTACACCTGAGTTTGGGATGTTACAATCTACAGTTAATTAAGGTGAGAATACTTGATATAATTAATTTTCATTGCTCTTTATTAATCTATTTGCCACTGTATCTGTTTCAGATCGACGTTGGAGAAAACAAAGATGACCCCGTAGTTGAAATAGTTCTTTATCTTGCATGCTCTATCAGAATTCATTAAGTTGATTTTATTCAAATTAATTTTTTATTTTGCATGTTCTTGTTTGTTTTTTTTTGTGGTTAATTTGATTTAGTTTTTATTTTGCATGTTCTTTTTTGTTTTTTTTTTTTGTAGTTAATTTGATTTAGTTTTTATTTTGCTTGCTTATTTTTGTTCATTTTGTTNAAAAAAAAACAAAAAAGAACATGCAAAATAAAAACTAAATCAAATTAACCACAAAAAAAAAACAAACAAGAACATGCAAAATAAAAAATTAATTTGAATAAAATCAACTTAATGAATTCTACTAGAGCATGCAAGATAAAGAACTATTTCAACTATGGGGTCATCTTTGTTTTCTCCAACGTCGATCTGAAACAGATACGGTGGCAAATAAATTAATAAAGAGCAATGAAAATTAATTATATCAAGTATTCTCACCTTAATTAACTGTAGATTGTAACATTCCAAACTTTACAGGTGTAAAAAGCAAACCAAATCCAGGAGGAATGCCAAAGAAGAAAACTTGTTCTTTGAGTGGAATTCAAGTAAATCTCCTCTTGTTCTTGCTTATCTGTTGAAAATTAACTGCATAATGTTGCAAGGTGAAGACGAAAACAGCAGATCCAGAATACAGCCTAGAAAAGACATCAGTTCTTGGTTGCTTCAATACAATCAACCTGAACCTCAATTTTCTCTCATCTGTTGGACGATCTGCAGAAATAAGCAAAAAAATATTAATTAAAGAAGGGATTAAGTTATGTAAAACATGAAATACTATAAAAACATGCACCAAAAGGCAAGTAAAATAACTACATTATAAAATGGCGATGTGGGCGTCAATTATATTTATGACAGGTAAATGTCAAAAGCAATAGAAATAACCATAGATGCTCTGGACAATAGATAACTGCACGAAGAGAAACCATAGACGCTAGACATTGCAAATTATTATATGAAAGTACAATTGCTTACCTCGAGGATTACTGTATGGTGCTAGAGTTTTATTCCTAAGCGATGATAATAGAGAAGTACCTCTAACAGTAGATGCTTATGAAAGGAAAAATAAAACCACTGATTGTGAAATGAGCCACATAGCAGAAGACATATACATTGGTGTCAATTGGACTTCATGTATTTTCTAACAACTGCACCGTTTAGGTCCAAAAGGAAAGAGCATTAAAAGGGCTCCACCTCTCATTTCATGTGTTTAAATAATAACCTGTTAAAACAATTTAATGTTACTTTCATCTCAAATATTATGTTTTACATATTAAGAACCATAAAAATCTCCAGCAATCAAATAAAAGACCATCACACCAAACAAATTAACTATTACAATTTAGAAGAGTAAAATATTACAGTAATAATAATTGTCAAATAAATGGAATGCAAGAACTGGAAAATTACTAATCATTTCGTAAATACAACTTCATAAAATAATTAAAGATTTCTTACCCTTTCTACAAATGGCCTCTTTTCAAGCACAAGAGAGAGAAGCGTGAGTGGAGCTCTCACGTTTCGAATCCTTTTGATTAACCCTCTCTATGTTCACGATATTAGGATGTAATGGAAACCTGTTGAAACAACTTAATATTGGTTATATGTTCACTACACGTTATTATTTTATTATTAACTATAATTACTATTGTTAACAGCAGTGCCCCATGAATTTTTCGACTAGTTCATTACCATTTCTGGAAATATAAGTAAGTCTGATTGTTGCAATATTACATCTGTAAGTAGTCTGTCCATCTAATCCAAGGATGTTATCTCTTAGCAAGCCTATATTATAAAAACAAAACAGTCGTTAAAACCCAATCTATAAAATAAGAAAGCAAAAGTTTTTTTTTGAGAAATTTAGAATTTTAAAGGCAGAATAAATCTTTCAGAAATACTTTACATTTCAGTACAAGTAATCCTCACGACGTGGTCCATCGATATGAAAAATCTGCAATCATCGCTTGAAACTGTTTTCAAAATTGAAAAATTCTACCAGAAGCCCAATTATTCCACCTCAGATAAACCAAAAATGTAAAAATTCACAGTAGATGGTGGCGGACACGTAAGATGCCATGATGAACTCCTATGTTGAAGCACCAAATCGTTTACGCTAAAATAAATCTACGCAAAAATAATCAACACCCCTTAATCACTAAATAGAAACGTATTCTACACAATTAAATGAAACCACTTTTAAGATCAACTAAAAAGCTAAGGCCAAGCGAACTTGTACGGGGCGGCCCTACCTCCTTCTACAAGGCTGAGAACAGAATAGAACAAGTGAAGTAATCATAGATGCACCGAAACAATAATTTATCCGGTCGACAATAGATATTTGTTAAAAAGAAAGTACCAAAGTGCACAATAACGTCACTTAATGCTCCGAACAATAGAGAATAGTTAGAACAAATACCAATAGATGCACGATAACATTGATTTATGGTGTGAACAATAGATTAATTTTAATTGATACCATAGATGCAGGAAAACGCCAGCTTGGAAAGAGATGCCACCGATGTAGAACGTTAACTTATTTTGTGGACGATACCATAAATTTAGGATAACGTTAATTTATGCTATAAAGAACAATTAAAACTAATTATGTCATGCCTTAATTAACTGCAGAATCAAATTTATTGTTTTAGTAGAGTTCAAATAAATCTCCAGTTGCTCTCACTCATCCGTTGAGAATTAACTACATAATGTTGGAAGGTGAAGACGAAAACAGCAAATCAACAATAAAGTCCAGGAAAACGTCACCCATGTAAACGTCAGTTGTTTCAACATGACCAAACTGACCTTTAATTCTTTTTCACTTGTTGGAAAATCTGCAGAAATGGACAAAAAACGTATTAAGGATTAATTACACTCCTATATAAGTAAGATAAGAAACACAATAAAAACACGCCCCAAGAAACAACTAAAATAGCTGAATTATAAAATGGTGTATTTAAGAATTTATGCGGTAGACAATATATAATTTTTTAAAAAAAGTACCAATGATGCAGGATAATATCACTTGATGCTGCAGAAAATACATAATTGTTACAATATATAAATGAAATGCTGTAGATATTTGAATAGTCAACTTATTGTGTGAGCAATACTATAAATACACGATAACGTCAATTTATGCTGTAAAGAGCGATTAAAAATAATTATTTTATGCACTCTTACCTTAATTAACTGCAGAATGTAGCGTTCTAAAGTATACAAGTGTGATTAGTAAGCCAAATTGGGGAGAGATACCACTGCAGACAATCTGTTTCAGTATTTTCCAATTTGTTGGATAATCTATAGAAACAGGCAAGAAAAAATAATTAATTACCATCTTTAAAGCAAGTAAATCAGTAATTTTTTAATGTGACAATGTGATAGTAGACCAAGAAAATAATAGATACACAACATACTATTAATTAATGAGCAAAACAAGATTGCAAATTTACATACTAATAATTTGTTAAGTTGACATTCACACTGATAGAAAGGTCAGTTCCACGTTAATTCTACTGTTCTGATTTTCTCATTTCAGAAACGTTATTTAAATGTAGTCTACTGGAAGTAAGTTTTTGCAACTTTCTTTGTCTAAGAAATTGATGTTTCTGGGAACTTACTATTTTTAATTGATACTGTTATTTAACAGTTCATTGTTATAAATGCTGCCTGTAGCATCAGCAATACACAGCCTTCTTGGTTTCTAGTGAAAAAATGCACTTTAATGATTCCTTTGGGTACTTCTACATCCTGGAGTGAAAAATGGCTGATATGACGAATGCTTCTTAACACGTGGCAACAGTTTTATAATGATCCTATAAAATAAAAACAGTATTCAGATATAATTAATTTAGCTAATTATTTACAATACAATAAAGCTAATTCTACAAAAAAGTAAACTCGGCAAATTAAGTATAATCGTAAAAGAAACAAACAAACCTTTTTCCAGGTTCGAACAGGGGAGTAGGAGCAATCAGGCTTGCCACGGATTTGCGGTGGCTAGAGTATGAAGTAGGTATGACGCATAAAACGCAACTCAGAAGCATCATATTACATTTCTGCGACGGTTCGCAGCAATAGTTTTGTAATTTAACCAATAACGTAGCGACTTTCAGTTCCACTTTTTTAAAACTGAAAATATGAAATATAAGAGCAAGAGAGATAGTGAAAATTTAGAAAAAAAAAATAAAAACATTAATTAAATAAATAGGGTAAATCGTGAGGAGAGGAAGAGACTAGCAGTCTCTTTTAAAGGGTGCGGTGGGGTCATTAAAAATCTCACAACTTTTTAATCAGATATAGGTACATTATTAAACGCAATACATAGGGGAGAGGTGGCATGAAAGGGACATTTTTGTTTCGAGGACCCTAGTAAATAAATGAAATAAAAAATTAAACATTTACGAACAAAATTAGGAAGCTCAGTTATGCCAGTATCGAAATAGGACAAAACAACAAACCATTCTTTATCCTTAGCTGTATATTTTTTCAACTTAAAAAAAAAGTGTTTTGCCCCTTTCATTAATAGAGTGTATTGAAAGGGACAAGATGGTTTATGAAAGGGACAATACCTAATAATAAGGAAAAGCTGAGCTTGTACTTTGCGATACACGTACTGATTATTAATCAATAGGTACGTGTACGTATGCTGAAAGACTACATTTTTCAAAAAAATTAGAAATTAATAATTTACTTTTTGATTGTTAATTTTGATGTTGCTCGATTCCTTTACTGCTAAATTGTCTTTGATAATTCGCCCTACTTGCGTTAAACTTTCTTTATTGTCTCGGAGTGTTTCTTTTTTTAATATATCTATCACATTTTCTAAAAGTAATTATTATTTTCTGGGATTTCAGTTATAATTGCAGTTTTGACTTTGCGTTTCTTTTCTCCTATTTTTCGAGCTGTAGCTTTAGGGTACGACCTAATCTGCTCTGGAGTTAATATAAGGTGTGGTGGATTTAAAACGCAGAATGCGTCACTTCACTGTTGGAAAATCCAATCCAATAGAAGGTTCAAACTGTTGCTTACTATGATTAATAGATTCAGTCTGTACTTCTATATCATTGGAAGGTCTGCGATGTTTTGAGGTGACTGTGGACGATTTATAGTGAAAGAGACATCATTAACTTAGAAAATATTGCTAACCACGAAAGGGACAGTTATAAAGGGGACTTCCCTTTCATAACCGTTTATTATGTCCCTATCATGATTATTACACAAAATTGGAAAATCTAACTTCTACAACTATCATTTCATCTAAAAGGTATCTTACCTACTGTTTATTTCTAATTGAATAAATAACATAATACAGATAATTGCAGGCAGTTCAATTAACTATTTGGTACACACTACAAAAAGTTTGGAAATCATTAAAAAAAATCTACTTTTGAGCATGAAAAAATTCACAAGCACAATACTCGCGTCTGTGAAAAGACCGGACCATGAATTTTGGTGCAAATTAGTGTGAATCGATGTTACCACACAACAAAAGTATTTCTATCCTTAGAAAATATGTTATTTGCCCGTAACTTGAGTTGTCCCTTTCTATACGTGTCCCTTTCATGCCACCTCTCCCCTACACACAATGTGTGTTGTTATTTCTATGCACAGGTATAACAAAGTAAATGGTAGTGATTGCTTAATAAATCACCCTAATCCGCGCAACATTGGTTGCCTATGTTGATTTTTCTGGGGCATGCAGTCCCCAATCAAAATACTTCTGTTTGTTTAACATTTAACAAAAATCGGGCTTCGTACTTTTCTTAAGAACACCCTAAAGTATCATTTGTCCAAAGCGCAGGTTCTAACTCATTACTATGTGCATGGAATTTATTTAATTAGTTTTAACTTTTTTTTTAAATAAGACAAAAACGAAAAGTGCATTAAAAAAATCGCTTCGTACNATCACATTTTCTAAAAGTAATTATCTTTTTCTGGGATTTCAGTTATAATTGCAGTTTTGACTTTGCGTTTCTTTTTTCCTATTTTTCGAGCTGTAGCTTTAGGGTACGGCCTAATCTGCTCTTGAGTTAGCGTAAGGTGTGGTAGATATAAAACCCAGAATGCGTCACTTCACTGTTGGAAGATCCAGGCTGTGGTTCGTTTGATATAGAAGGTTCAAACTGTTGGTTACTAGGATTAATAGATTCAGTATGTAGTTCTTTAGTATTGGAAGGTCTGGGTTACATTTCCTTGACGTTTGCAATAAATTCAATTTGAGTGAAAATATCTATAACATCCTCATTATCTGCACTTACTTTATTAAAAATTTCGTTAGGACCAGCGATGTTTTGAGGTGACTGTGGGCGATTTGTGGTGAAAGAGACATCATTAACTTGGAAAATATTTCCAACCACGAAAGGGACAGTTAGAAAGGGGACGACCCTTTCATAACCGTTTGTTGTGTCCCTTTCATGACTATTAAACAAAATTTGAAAATCTAGCCTCTACAGTTATCATTTCATCTACGTATCTTACCTATTGTTTATTTCTAATTAAACAAATAACTAATTACGGACAATTGCAGGCATTTCAATTAACTATTTGGTACACACTACAAAAAGTTTGGAAATGATTAAAGGAAATTTACTTTTGAGCATGAAAAAATTCATAAGCACAATACTCGCGTCTGTGAAAAGACAGGACCGTGAATTTTGATGCAAATTAGTGTGAATCGATGTTATCACACAACAAAAGTATTTCTATCCCGAGAAAATTTGTTATTTGCCCGTAACTCGAGTTGTCCCTTTCATGCCACCTCTCCCCTAGATAATAAATTTTGACTAAAATTGCAGTTGATACCTTGACTTTGAACTATTGATGATGCAGGAAATAATAAAATTCACTTGTAGTCTAAATTTTAATTTGTTAATTGTTGTTATAATTTTTTATGAAGTAATTTTTAATAGAGTTGATTGTCAGATCAGCCGAAACTGATAGTAGCATTCTTCTCGAAGACGTTTTTGAAGGGTTTTATGAACATTTTTTGTATTGTTGATGTGTATGCATAGAGAAATTCTTCCTTAACACAAAACGACTTGAATATTTGCTGTAGGTTTATTTTTTACAAATTGTACCTTTTCTTACATTGCAGTGGATAAGCGATTACGTATCAGTAAAATTTGCTACGATGTAGGTATAAGAACGGGAGTAATTAATTTTTAACGAATTGCGACATTTCGCAGTTTTTTATTTTTTGTTGAACCGATCATGAACCAATACGCATACTTTAAAAATTAGAGTACCACTTACGTTTTTAATAGTTAATAGTTATTTAATAATTTATTTAAACAAAAAGATATTCGGAAAAAGCGTTTAAAGTAGAGATGCACACATCGACATGGTATTAAGAATACGAAAGAATGGAAAAAAATGACGTTACGTAAACATAAATGGGTAAATTAATATCCTCTGAGAAGGTAATTGCAATTTTATTAATTGTAAGACAAGTTTCCAAACCACCATTGAGATATTACCAAGAGGCGTAATTTTTTTTCCTTGTCTGGTTTGCCAGTAGCTCTATCCCGTCATTAAAAAAAATTAATTACAATACCAGTAAACACGTACAAACATACATACATGTACTGCAAAAATTGTTAGAAATTCGACCCCTGTAATAAAAGGCAAGCTTTGGGGCGTCTGCCAAAATTATTTCTGAGTCGCGCAAAAACGACCGGCATTTGGCTTAATTCATTTGCAACGATCATCGCACGGTCATGCAAATCATTAGCGTTTTGCACTAGCTTTTGATATAATCGCTGTTTTATACAACTCTATATAAAGAAGTCAAGCGAATTTGCGATTAGATCCGGACTACGCGCCGGCCAAAAGGTACTGAATACATAAGCTCAACCAGTGTCTAGGAAACTGTTTGTCTAGATGCTCTTTTGCACTGACCTATGACACTGACACACTGACTTACTCTCAGCGACTTCGACTGACTACAAACATACAAGCCTACAATGTAATTATCACACTAATCTATCTAATCTACTAAATGCAAAAAAATACAACACGGATGCTGTTAGTTACCAGCTGATTAAATGCGATATTGCATTGCCATATTTTCCTGCGTGATCCTACCAGGGTCGAACTGGCCCTTGTATGTACTTTCAAGTACGTTTTTCCCGAAAACGGTGAAAACATTTGCTTAACTTTCTTTTTTTATAGTGTCCTATTACCTTCTGCAAGCTTGTCACCCTGTATACCTAATAACGCATGAGTTTCATCAAACTTTTTTTTTTAATGTTCAAAGTTTATCAATTTTGAGATTTTAAGTATAAATTATATACCTACTATAGTACAATTTTAAGAAATATCTACAATAATATATTTTGAGCAAATGTAACTGAGTTGAATATGTACAGTATTCTAATTTTTATGTAAAAAATGTACCTAAAGGAAATATGTATATTTTAGAAACTAAATGAATTTTCAAGTGTATTACTGTATTACATTGTTCAAGAGTTTTGTATTTGTGCATAACATAATTTGACAATACCTTTTTTTACATTGTTTTCATTGCAAATATAAGTTATTTTATAAACTGATGTGAATATGTGCTTGGCTATCGCTTCCCTGTTATCTCATAATTGACGATTTGGCTTTTCTGATCTCAGTTCGGTGTTAAATTGATTTTAATATTGCTAATAATTAAAATTTTATGATCTCTCATATTTAAAGGACAATATTTTGCCGGTCACACATCTATATTAAAAAGTTGATCTAAAAAAAAAAGAAAAGGACAGGATACTTTTTACCTTATATCCAGAGGAAAAAATGCTGGTCCCGAGGGATAGAAATATTAGTTTTAATAGTTATTGTACTTATGTACTTTTAAAGATAATAATGATATCTGGCCGTTGATCATATTTGATACGGATTTAGAACATCAGTGCGAGAGAAGCCGTGGGTCAATTCTAGTTAAATATAAAAAGCCTTACTTTTACATTTTAAAAAGTCAACAAGTAACAACATACAGTGGACTTTTTTAACGAATTCATACGACTAGAATTTTTTAACCTAATAAATCTTATTACAAGTACCCAATACATAAAATTTCTGATTAATAAATATCACGGCACAGCCCATGTTTCGCACCCCTATATCGTCGCGCTCCAAACATACACCTTTAACAATCTTTTTCGAAATTCTTAATTAATCGTCTGCGAGCATAGAAGTGACTTCTTTTTATTGAAGGCGACTCGACCCTGTGCTACCCTCTGCTTTATATCTCTACTACCCCTTCCGTCCTGACTTATCTGACTTCCTAGATACCTAAAAAAAACTTTTGGGTGTTTCATTCCCACCAGCCAGTATTGCTGGTGGAAGGGCAGTCCCTCCGGACTACGCCGGAACGTAGGGCGGAAGGCCCTCTTGAGCCTGCTTTCAGGAATCGTGGGAATGGGTGGATGGTGGTTCGGGTGAGAAAGGAAATGAAGACAGAAGAGAATGAAAGATTATCTGTGGAATATTACTGCCTCAGCATTTGCCTAGGTGATCCAAGGAAACAACAGAAAAACTCGGACCAAGGCAGACGGACCCGGAATCGAACCGGCGTCCTCCCGAATGCTAAGCAATGGTCTAAACCTCTAGGCCATGCCGCTAGGTCCTAGATACCTAAAATCAGCCACTTCTTCTAATCTTTCGTTTCCTATCTTCACCTTCGCTCTTTCCCTACTTTTTCTTCCCTTGCATATCTGTATTGTTGTTTTACTTTATTTATTTTGATACAATACTGTTTTGTCAATACCGCTTCCATTTTATTAATACTACTATATCGTCTGCGAATCTAAGCATTTACCTCTCTATATCTATCTCTACTGTCTTACTGTCTTTAATGATGTTGATCGCATCTTGAATGTATATATTAAAAAGTAGCGGTGACGTGTGCATCCTTATCTGACTCCTTTCTTAATATTTACTTCTCTACGTTGCTGCTCCAGCTCTATAACTGCCTGCTGCTCTTTATACAAACTCTACATTTTTAAGTATATTTAACATCTTGTCCCATCTAACATTGTCAAAAGCTTTTTCTAAATTTATAAATCCTGTGTATGTACTCTTTCCTTTTTCTATCGTCTTCTGTATTATTACCCGTAAAGCTAGAATGGCCTCCCGCGTTCCTCTATTTCTTCTAAACCCAAACTGATCTTCTCCTAATAGTTAAGATTTTTGACGCAAGGGAAGTTCTAAAAGTTACCGATAAAAATTAAAAAACAGAACATTGAATAAAAAGAAACAAGGGGGTAAACAATCGATTATAAAATATGATAACTCATCTTCAGTAAATTTTTCTCAGGCAGATTCAACTGATACAATAATTATACGACGTTACACTTTGATCCTTTTTATACCGTAGGTATACACAGAATGTAGTTGCCAAATAAGCTTTGAAATAAGCATGTTCTTTGCTGGCTGCTGTTGCGAGTACCTATAGGATGCCGGTTTCATCTCCAGCATCTCCTTATCCAGATATTCCAGCGCCACCACCGTCCGTCGCCGGGCACGCATCCCGAAAGCCTAGATGCTGGCGCTTGCGTATTTCCGACGCTGAACCCGCAGTGATATCGCAACAGCATCCGGGATTGCAGCACACAGCAGGCTGGCACGCATGCATGTAGTTAGAAGTGAGCAAGCAAGCAGTAATAGTAAGTAGCAAACAGGAATCTGGAATAGTGCACCGCACCGGGACGTCGCGTTGCAATCGAACAAAATCAGTCGTATGACGACGGTGGTTGACAGGGTATTTTATTATTTATTATAAAATATAAAAAGGAAAAGTTGGTTCGCGGTGCAGCGGTCGATCTTTGTGCGAATACGCGATTCGGGTCCGTTGTTATCATCACGATGTACGGGTGTGAGTGATGTGGTGAACGAGAGGGTCGAAAGGACTCTCCATCGGTCTAGTCTGCTGGCGATGAATAATCTGCGGTGATGATGTGAGGGCAAGAGCAAGCAGTGTTACGTATTATTATTATCACCGTTGATCATAAGAAGAAAGAACGTGAAAGGCAACAAGTGTGAGCCGCCGCGGCGGATAGGAGTGATGCACAGTCACCGCAGTTGTACAGGGTGTTCCGAGGTACTTTACTTATCATATACCTAGGTACAAGCGATTAAAAAAACAATCACTCTAGAAAATGGATTGTGTATTTGTTTAAAAAATTGTGTCTACTATTATAAGCATTTAACGCCTCGGTCGAATTTGATACTTATCATTAAAATTTATCATCACCTATTGGATATGCCTGTTAGTGCTTTTCTATCATTATTTATGTGATTAGTTTTTCTTGTATTTTTGCTTTATACGTATTTTAGGTATAATTACTTTTTATCTGTTTGTATGTAGTTTTTTGTTTTCTATTAAATNAAAATATTAATTAAAGAAGGGATTAAGTTATGTAAAACATGAAATACTATAAAAACATGCACCAAAAGGCAAGTAAAATAACTACATTATAAAATGGCGATGTGGGCGTCAATTATATTTGACAGGTAAATGTCAAAAGCAATAGAAATAACCATAGATGCTCTGGACAATAGATAACTGCACGAAGAGAAACCATAGACGCTAGACATTGCAAATTATTATATGAAAGTACAATTGCTTACCTCGAGGATTACTGTATGGTGCTAGAGTTTTATTCCTAAGCGATGATAATAGAGAAGTACCTCTAACAGTAGATGCTTATGAAAGGAAAAATAAAACCACTGATTGTGAAATGAGCCACATAGCAGAAGACATATACATTGGTGTCAATTGGACTTCATGTATTTTCTAACAACTGCACCGTTTAGGTCCAAAAGGAAAGAGCATTAAAAGGGCTCCACCTCTCATTTCATGTGTTTAAATAATAACCTGTTAAAACAATTTAATGTTACTTTCATCTCAAATATTATGTTTTACATATTAAGAACCATAAAAATCTCCAGCAATCAAATAAAAGACCATCACACCAAACAAATTAACTATTACAATTTAGAAGAGTAAAATATTACAGTAATAATAATTGTCAAATAAATGGAATGCAAGAACTGGAAAATTACTAATCATTTCGTAAATACAACTTCATAAAATAATTAAAGATTTCTTACCCTTTCTACAAATGGCCTCTTTTCAAGCACAAGAGAGAGAAGCGTGAGTGGAGCTCTCACGTTTCGAATCCTTTTGATTAACCCTCTCTATGTTCACGATATTAGGATGTAATGGAAACCTGTTGAAACAACTTAATATTGGTTATATGTTCACTACACGTTATTATTTTATTATTAACTATAATTACTATTGTTAACAGCAGTGCCCCATGAATTTTTCGACTAGTTCATTACCATTTCTGGAAATATAAGTAAGTCTGATTGTTGCAATATTACATCTGTAAGTAGTCTGTCCATCTAATCCAAGGATGTTATCTCTTAGCAAGCCTATATTATAAAAACAAAACAGTCGTTAAAACCCAATCTATAAAATAAGAAAGCAAGTTTTTTTTTGAGAAATTTAGAATTTTAAAGGCAGAATAAATCTTTCAGAAATACTTTACATTTCAGTACAAGTAATCCTCACGACGTGGTCCATCGATATGAAAAATCTGCAATCATCGCTTGAAACTGTTTTCAAAATTGAAAAATTCTACCAGAAGCCCAATTATTCCACCTCAGATAAACCAAAAATGTAAAAATTCACAGTAGATGGTGGCGGACACGTAAGATGCCATGATGAACTCCTATGTTGAAGCACCAAATCGTTTACGCTAAAATAAATCTACGCAAAAATAATCAACACCCCTTAATCACTAAATAGAAACGTATTCTACACAATTAAATGAAACCACTTTTAAGATCAACTAAAAAGCTAAGGCCAAGCGAACTTGTACGGGGCGGCCCTACCTCCTTCTACAAGGCTGAGAACAGAATAGAACAAGTGAAGTAATCATAGATGCACCGAAACAATAATTTATCCGGTCGACAATAGATATTTGTTAAAAAGAAAGTACCAAAGTGCACAATAACGTCACTTAATGCTCCGAACAATAGAGAATCGTTAGAACAAATACCAATAGATGCACGATAACATTGAATTATGGTGTGAACAATAGATTAATTTTAATTGATACCATAGATGCAGGAAAACGCCAGCTTGGAAAGAGATGCCACCGATGTAGAACGTTAACTTATTTTGTGGACGATACCATAAATTTAGGATAACGTTAATTTATGCTATAAAGAACAATTAAAACTAATTATGTCATGCCTTAATTAACTGCAGAATCAAATTTATTGTTTTAGTAGAGTTCAAATAAATCTCCAGTTGCTCTCACTCATCCGTTGAGAATTAACTACATAATGTTGGAAGGTGAAGACGAAAACAGCAAATCAACAATAAAGTCCAGGAAAGCGCCACCCATGTAAACGTCAGTTGTTTCAACATGACCAAACTGACCTTTAATTCTTTTTCACTTGTTGGAAAATCTGCAGAAATGGACAAAAAAACGTATTAATTAAGGATTAATTACACTCCTATATAAGTAAGAGAAGAAAAACAATAAAAACCCGCACCAACAA